TTCCATCTGTGGGTTTCCTCAGCCATGGCCCAGCACCGCCAGGTGTGTCTGAGCCCAGGAAGCCCTGGGATTGATGGTGCCTGGCCAGGGCACACCTCAGGGAGCCCATTTTGTGAGTTTCCTCCTGTTCACTGTTTGTAAGAGGAAAGGTGATAAAATGCAGAAAGGCCACTGCAAAGGGTCGTGCTACTCACCGGTCGTGGAGAGTGGGGATTTTGGAAGGACATTGCAGATATTGCTTAAACCGGAGCTCAAAGGCTTGTCCGATGGAGCCAATGACGTCCTGGGCCAGCCCGTCACAGCATTCCAGAATGTGACAAGCTATGGGAGGCAGAGACATGGGACCATTATGAACAAACACTAGAGCTACTCAGGCTCCTCCATATAAAACTTCCTGAGGGTGAAACCATGTCAGCCGCGGTGCAAAGAAGGACAAGGAGGCATGTCTGCCCTTCATGATATGATCTGGAGGCTCTACCTGCAGCTTCATCCCTGGGGACCCCCAGCTGTACAGTGTCACCATCAGATGCATTCCTTAATAGCCTGTTCTCTCCAAAATTAAAAATGAATCACTTTGCGGCAGGCACCTGCCATCCTTGGAGGACACGCTATCCTGTGTACATCATGATCCATGTGAAACCTTCAGAGAAAAGAGGGCCGAGTGGGACAAGGTAGAAACAAAGCCCCGCCTCTGCTCTATACAAAAGGGATAGTCGACGGTGTCCCACAGAGGAGCCCACGGCCCCTCCACAAGTCGCCGTGACGCATGTGACATGGCCTTGTTACTAATGGGATAGTCATTTTCCCTGCAGAAAATGACAGATGTGTGTGTCTCACTCCACCTGTCTTTTGCCAACAATTAGGATGTAACTGTATTTCAAGAAGGGTTCCTCCAGGAGTGTGGGGGAGGCATTTATTCCTACAAAGGTAGCTAGCTGTTCTTAGGCACCAAAGACACCAAATTGTCCTCTGACTGCAAGAGAACCCAGTATATACCCGAAAGAGGACTCCTTAAGAGGAGCAACTGCCTGGGAAGGGACAGAGACATCACTGCCTCTGCAGTTTGTGACTCTTCTATCATGATGCTTGCTGCTTTCTCTATGCACAAAGCCAGTGGAGCCCATCCAACGATCGACGCCAGGCCCTGCTTCTTCAGCTTCTTCTCCCCCAGGCTGGAGGGGAGCACACTGCTGAAGACACGGGAAAGCTCTGCTGGGGAAGCACACATGGGACTGTATTGCGCTTTGGGCCTCAGTGCAATCCTTGGATACAGTAGGTATGGCCGGGGGATTGGTCCCAAGGAGACCGATGTCCTAGCTGTATTTTTAGTATTGACTATAGATATTTTCTTGTTGATATTAGTTTTTATTAAGCATCAGCCTGGATAGGCACAAAGGAAGCCCATTTAGAGCAGCTATTAGAGTTGTGGGGCTGTTGGTTAACTGACAGAAATGAAGGTATCTTTCCAGNCCCACTGAGTAAAGCAGGAAACCATGAATCCATGCTGATGAAAATGAATACGTGAATAGATTGAAAGTTGGATTGGGATGTAGTTTGCAAGTACTTCACCCCAAATATGTATTAATTAGCAGAGAAAGGAGAAAATCTGCAGTGTACACCTCTGTAGCCAAGTGATCCAAGTGAACACTCACATTCAGCAGTTCCACAAAGCAGGATGTGGTGACACACGGAGCAGTATTTCTGTGACAGCGCAGCCAGGATGCACGACCTGAACCCAATAACGAGGAAACATCAGATGAACCTGCATTAACAACTGCTCCAGGTTGAAAGAGACTAAAGTGAAATGACCACTAAATGCAGCACGTGATACTGAATTGGAGCCTTTGGTGACAAAGGACTTTCTTGGGGACCTGGTGGAACACAAGAATGCTGGAGAGGGTGAGGTGGTGGTGACTGATGCCTCTCCTATGGTCATGAGAAAGAATGTCCCTGTTTGCAGGAAACTCACATTCCAGTATCCAGGGATGGTGCGGCATTTGAGCAAGTTATTAGAAAATGATGCCGAAGAAAAAAGTTCTTTATGCTATACTTTCAAGGAATACTCCAAAAAATTGATGGGGCGGAATACAAATGAATCATAATTGGAATGGTATTGGAAAGTTTTGCAGCCAATACTAGGTACATGGGAGTTCGTTAGATTTTTTTGGTCCATTTTTGTGCATTTAAAAACGAAGGGAAGGTGTTCTTGACATAAGACGAATGGAAGAAGAGAAAGAAGACAAAGGACTAGCAGGGCAACCCATTCCCCTCCGAGCACTGGACACAGGGAATGGGAGAGGAAGACAAGCAACTGTTCCTAACACTGATGGAACAAGAGAGGTTTTATGTATGTAAAGGCACAAAACAACCTCTAGAAAAACTAAAAAAAATTGTCAAAAATTGAAAGTAGCAAAAATGAGCCAAATCTTGTTTTCAGAAGGAACATTAAAAAATGATACCTTAAAATATTAAATCATTGAATGGCAATTTAAGTACTACGATGAGAACTTGGGAGAGGAACTGTTAGTTTTGCTTTCCTCTTGAATTGAAATGTGGAGAGCAGGAGTTGGGGGCAGAACGGGGGCTATTATTTTTCATTACAAGCCTTTCTGTAATATCTCATTTATATTTTTCAGATGTTACACNACCCAAGGAAGAAGTTATACAACTTGCCTGGGCTGTGTCGGGGGCTTGGGGTCTGGCTTTCAGTCGAGCATCAACAAACCCCCCTGGAGGAGGTGTCTTGCTTGGAATGCTGTTGTAGTATGGGTGGTCTGAGCCATCCCCCTCTTTTTCAGTCCATGGCTCATCCAGACTCTGCATTCTGTTAAAAGAGAATTTTCAAGGGCTTTAGCCCAAAGTTGAGCTTTTAGTTAAAAACAACAAATCTACTGTTAGTACCTGTCACCCCAGAAAATAAAGTTTTGTCACTGCCCCTTCAACCATCTATCTCTCAGGTATATATGAGAAGCACATAAGTGGTTTAGCCAAACATCCCTGCCTTATTCACAGTTCTACCCTTTGGAAAATTCAAGTCATGTTGAAACAATAAAAAATTTCTTTTTTAAAAGTACATTTTAATCAGGAAAGAAAAAAAAACGTATGTGTAAAGATCACTGGATCCACAAGGCACAGACACACATTTAATAAATGTACCCAAAGCAAAATCAACTAAAATATGAAGATTCAGTGACATCAGAAAAAATGGCAGAGAAAGTACTCTGGAAATTTTTACTTCAATTAAAAAAAAAGCCACAATAAAACAGGCAAAAACATTTTTCAGCATCAACTATTTAAAACCCTGGAAATTAACCCTAGAAGCTTTCAGCAATCTAGGGAGTATTTATTTTTTAAAAAAAGCAAACAAAACCAGCTGTAAGTTATAGCCACGTTGGGGATTCCAAATTATTTTGAATAAACTTCAAGGTTTTGGATTTAAAATAACCAGCCTTAAGAATAGCACCTTTGTGGCATTTTAACTTGCTCGATTTCTGTCTGCACAGTAGCCTTGAAAACCAACGGCCCAGAGTGAGACTGAAAACCAGTAGCCTGACAGCCATGAGAAGGGTCAGAACAGCATTGAGTCTTCTTCAAAGTTCCATTCCTAGAGCACAGTCATTATATAAATTGTCTAGTCATTCCTCAGATGTCACTCTTAGNGCCCTGAGGCAGGTGCTGGCGTGGTGTTCAAGGAAGAGCCAGAAGTCTAGGGAGCTGGAGTGGGGAGGGAATCGTGGGGAATGAGGCAGATTAGAGCAGGACTGAACTCACACTGGGTCCTATGGGCATGGTGATGAGACTAGCAGATGCTTTGTGGAGGGAGGAAAGACTTAGATCTGTAGATTGTCAAGTGTGAGGGGCCCGTGAGGCTTCTGAGTGCAGATGTGCAGCAGGCTGGTAAGAGCATGAATCCAGCTTTCAGCCAGAAGCCTGGGTGAGACGGGGACATTCACAGTCTCTGGCACAGGATGTTTCAAGTCCAAGGCCTGGCTTGTTTGTATAATCACTGTTGACAATAGCCAAGGATGGAGCAACTTAAATGTCCACCCATAGGAAAACTAACCTCCCACCCAGTGTTAGTAGATGGAAATTAACCTTCCAGTTTAAAAAGAAAGAAACAAAAACAAAAAAAAACACAACAAAAACCAAGTAAACCCTAGATTTCACACACTATGCAGAGAGGTTTTCTTTCCAGGGGAAAGCCAGAGGAGATGCTGTGTTGTTTGCCACCAGTGAGTTTATACTATTTAAGGCCTCCCACAGAAAGCCACTTCCTGGGGCTACAACTGTCCAAGGCCAGAGGACCCCTAAATTCTTTGTTGATAGCACCATCTGCTATCAGAGAAGCCCAGAGTAGGCAAGTGTGGCAACGTGAGGCAGCATTTCCACATGCAGCCTTCCCACTCAAGCCTGTTCACCAAGTTTCCCATTACTCAAACCTCTGGGAAAGCGCAGCAGAATGTGTTAGGAGCTGTTCAGGCTGAACACACAGGCTTCTCTCCTGTCGGGTCAACACCACCTATATATAGGATATGACTTTCCACAGCTAAGTCAGGGAGTTCCAGATGGTGCCCAAACAGGGATGTTATTGCGATTATAAATTATATAGAGTCCATGCCTCCTGCTGACAGCCATATGCCCAATGAAAGCATCATATTTTCGCTATGTTTTTTACTCAAACAGGGCAATCTGAACTAATATATATGACTGCATAAGACTGTAGGGGATGAGAATCATTGGGTAGTAGTGGAAGTTCCAACGTGAAAAGAAAATGATGTGATAGGATCCAACAAAGCCTGATTTGTGGGGAGTTTTACCTCTTTGTATATCAACAGTCACCTTCCAGGTCCATTGGCCCTGCCTTTCAACTATAATGCACCAGCCTCACGAAACTTCAGTCATTTGCATCCCTTGTCTCCCGGAGATGGTGGTAGAGGTTTCCATACAACTTAATGACTCAGGTCAGAGGCCTTTTTGCCCTTTCACCAGATTAACTATTGATATATAAGCCATATGTTCTTGATACCAGACAAATATAGATTCTCTCTCTAAATAGTTCTAGATAAACCAAAAAAACCCCAAAAAAATGTATAAGCATTAATCATGAGGGAAAAGACATGATAACAGTAAGGGGCTTTGACCCACTGTTGTTGGATTCAGACAGAAGACTTTCTGGGACCCAGATGTCACACCTGTCTGTCTTTAGGAGCTGTGCCTGCAGCCAAGGAATTACTCCAGCACATCAGCCAGGGCCTCTGGGCAGGGAGTTAGATATTTTAGTGCCCAAATAAGAACATTCACTCCCAGAATTTCTTGCTAATCTGACTCCCGAATGGCAGAGAACATTCTTATTAGATTAAATTTGCTGCCTGGCCCGGGGAAGGAAGAAGGAGAATAGAAGCAGCTGGGGAAAGCCCTTCCACCCGCTCCTTACTAGAAGGGAGTAGTCATGAGGTAGACACATATGGGTGGAGGCAAAGCATGCTCTGAGGTCATGTTCATGACTGGAACCATGACTCCCTTCCCCATACACACTGCGTCCCAGGAGGTTAGACCTGCCGGTGTGAGGGGGAACAAAGCTGTGATGCATAAGAAGGGCTGCACATTCTTGTCAAAGGGTAGGTTTGGTTCCCCTCCCCTTGAATCTGAGCAGGCTGTGACTGCTTGGACAGTAAACTATTGCCGAAGTGAAGCTGTGCCTGGCCTTTCAGAGCTCTGGAATCTTCTACTTAGGTATTGTGGAGCCCAGAGCTGCCATGTAAGAAGTCCTATCACCCTGACAGAGGGGCCCCTTGGAGGGACCCTGAGACTCCATGGAGAGAAAGAAGGACCCTGCTTGCTTAGCCTTCTAGTTATCCCTACCAAGGTGTGAGGCATGGAAGTGACATCAACTTGGACCCTCTAGACTAGGCCAGGCAGCAGCCAAAGTCCACCCAGTGACTCCCACTGATGCCACATGGAGCAGAAGAACTGGTCAACCAATCCCTGCCTGGCTTATTGACACTTAATCATATAAAAAGATACAATAGAATGATGGTCATTAAGCCACTAAACATTGAGTAGTTTGTTGCAGGCAATAGATAAATGGAAGGAAGGGGTGAACATCCCCAACCAAATATGTCAAAGGAACCCTGTGCCGGTGGTGCCCCCAAAGCAGCAGCACCAAAGAGCAGGTTGACATTTGTCTCATGCTGGCACCACAAGCAGGTCCCAAAGGGGGGCTGGCGCAGCAACTGCTGGACGTGTGGACCCTAATCTCCATGACTTTGAAACGCACTGTGGGTGGAAGTCACTCCTGGTTTGTGGCTCTGAAACAAGGAAGCAGCCGGTTCACTTCCATGGCCCTGAGTCAGCTTGCATTGGGCTAAGCTCCTTCAGGGTCTGGCACTTTATTGCTCAGACATGGCTGTACTTGGAATCACCTGGGAGCTTTTAAAAAATACAGTTGTCTGGGCCGTACTCTCTGAGGCCTGAGCATTGAATTCTTGCAAGTTCATCTAGCTGACTCTACAGTGCAGTTCATCTTGAAAATCACTGACTTAGGGGTCATTAAAGGCATCCAAAAAAATTAAAAAGTCTAGGATTGCTTAAAGTTAATTTGGAACAAACAAAAATAATGAGCTTCAACAACTGTTAACCCTGAACTGAAACTAGGAATTCTGTTCCTGGGGAGGAGCAGCCTGCCACCTTCCACCTCTCCCAACTTGGTGGGACCTTAGGATGGCTGAAGGGGTTGGCCTCTCTTATGGGTTGAATTGCATCCCCAATGAAAAATATGTTGAAGCCCCACCTCAGAATGTGACCTTATGGAAATAGGGTTGTTGCATATGTAACTAGTTAAGGTGAGGTCAGGCTGGATTATGGTGGGTCTAATTCAGTATCACTGGTGTCCTTACAAGATATCCACCTGAAGACAGAGACACACTTAGGGTGCAAGGTCATGTGAAGATGGAAGATTGGAGTGATGCATCCACAAGCCCAGGATATACCATCAGAAGATGGACATGGCAGGAAAGATTCTCCCCTATAGGCTTCAGAGTAAGTGAGACCCTGCCAGTGAGTGAAAACCTTGACCTCAGATTTCCAGCCTCTAGAACTGTGAGACAATGATTTCTGTTGTTTTAAGGCACCTGGCTTATGGTATTTGTTCAGTAGCCCTAGCAAACTACCCACTACCCATACAGCCTCTATTGGAAAAATGGGCTCGTGTGAACTGTCATAGTCTTCCCTCTCACCCATGACAAGTACTGGTTATTGGCAGATATTACTTATGTAAAAGCTGCTTCAAGTTCAAGGAGTGATGGGCTACAGCATGTTAGCAAGGGGTCTCAGGAATGGTCCTCAGCTCATCAAGACCAACCCTGCCCCCTTCCCATCTACCCTCAAAACTTTGTAATTACCCCATCTCTGGTTCAGGAGTGACAGTGACAATTATAGTATAGTATGTTACTTGTATTAGAACATCTCATCTATGGAACCCCCCCAAAACACCCCAGTGATGGCTTGTCAGGAGTTCCAGCACAGCTGGAGGATAATAACAGCTAACATTCTCTGTAAGATCTGTTATCTTCAGTTTGAAGAAAGAAAAGGCAGCCCCACCAAATCCCTGCTTACTAACCCAGGGCTGGAGAAGGCCCAGATGGAAAATCATTTACATAGGAATGCAAATTTTTATAGCCAGTCTGCACAGGAATTTACAAGGTCCATTGATGTATCAACCATCTAACTTTTTCTATGCAAATACCTCTCTAGTTTGGGCCATGTGACATTGTGGGGAAGAACAAAGGAGTCTGCATGCGGGGAACCCTGGATGTCCATGGACCACGAGGGACAGACCTCTGTAAAGCTACATCATGGATCAGGTGAACTGATCTCTCTGGGCTGTCTTGAAAATGCGTCTAAGATATAGTGTTGAGCCAGGGGAGCAAAACAGAATACTGAGATCTCATTCGTATTGAAATTTTGAAAGAAGAAAACATATGTGTGTGTATATGGATAAAAAAGTTCTGCAAAGCAAACTTGAAAAACGTAACAGTTGGTACCTGAGGCAGAGGGTGGGAAGAGTAGGGGAACAAGTGGGTCGTGGAGGGAAGTGCTGTTTTGTATTGTTATAAGCCCCACTGTGATCTTTGTCAATGAGTTCTGAATTGGAGTTGTGTGGTGCACCAGGCTTCTTAGTGTCCAGAGAGTTGGGCTTTGGTGTCATAAGCGATAAAATAAATGGGATGGTGGGTGTGGAGGGAGAGGCTAGGAGTAAAGGGTCCATGAGGATGGAAAGTACTTGAATGCCTCAGACTCCCTCCCCCAGCTGGTGTAGCTGCAACAGGCAGAATGGGTCAGCTTGAATACCGGTCTTCAGGGCTGTGCAAGATAGCGTGAGGCTCCTAGGAGAGACTTGGTTAGCAGTGGACACACAGGGAGCTGGAGCCCAGCAGGAGGCTGATGGTTTGTCATCTGCCATGTGTAATGAGGCCATTTCAGAGTATGTGTGGGAGTGGCACTGAGCAGGGCAGGTGCATCAGGCAGTAGGCGGCTGGATACAGGTGTGTGTGTGGAGCTCACAGACGTCCAGTGTCTCCTAAATCAGTCAGCTGCTCTGCTGCATGTAACTGCCTGCTGGTCTCAGTTATCATGAACAATGCAATCCTACGTGTGCTCATTGAGGTGAGAGGAACATCTGTGTTAACATCCAATGTCAAGCCCGGCTGTATTCCACCCAGAGATTACAAGGATCAGTGTTGCTTACCTCTGCGATTAACAGGGTCCTTGGCCACGTATGCAACGTAGTCTGTTGTGTCCTGTCAAAGAAAAATGAGATGTCCACATCATTAGTCATAGGGACAGCACTGTCAGACACACAGTGCACAGACCAGCTCAAGAGTGCAATGTTGCCCATTAATAGCCCGGTAAGATGGCATCTCTCAAACTGAGCCATGGGCAGGAATTACAGGGATCTTGTGATATGCGAGTTCTGATTTGGCGGTCTGGGGCATTCATTGCCTGAGTGCCGCGTCCACAGCCAGCTCACTCACATGGCAAGCTGCTTCCCCAGCCCACACTTTGAGCAGCAAGGATGTGAAGGCCACCTGTTCTCAGCGTGTTGGGTCACCCGAGGATCTTTAAAAATACTGATACCAGAGTCCCAACTCCAGATAACCTGATTTAACTGAATTGTGAGAAGACCTAGGCATCAGGAATGTTTAAAGCTCTCCCAGATGATTCCAATATGAACCAAGACTGAGAACCACTCCTATCAACTCTGTCCACACAATAGGCTTCACCCTTGAGCTGAGGTCAGCATCTCCCCTGCAGGGTTTGTTAAGACACAGATTGCTAAGTCCTGTCCCAGGGCTTCTCAGTCAGTGGGACTGGGGTGAAGCCCCCAAATGTGCATTTTTGACAAGTTTCCAGGTGCTGCTGCTACTGCTGGTCTAGAGGCCACCCTTTGAGAATGGCCAGTCAACGTCGGCCGACTGGATCAGTTGCTTAAGAGCNTTGGTCTAAGACAGCGGTTCTCAACCTGTGGGTCGTGGGTCGTGACCCCTTTGGGAGTCAAATGACCCTTTCACAGGGGTCGCCTAAGACCATCAGAAAACGAAAAGATATTTACATTACGATTCATAACAGTAGCGAAATTACAGTTATAGAGTAGCAATGAAAATAATTTTATGGTTGGGGGTCACCACAACATGAGGAACTGTATTAAGGGGTTGCAGCATTAGGAAGGATGAGAACCGCTGGTCTAAGATATTCAAGGGTAGCAGACGACTCCAGGCTCTGCTACTTGGCTTGTCCTCCATGGACTGAGAAAACGGCATCTGTTGGCTGGGTGTGAGTTTCCTTCCATAAAATTCTGTCTATGTATTCTGGAAACTCACTCCAAACCGAAAACTAACCCTGGGCTGCCAGTCTCGCCAGGCCTGGTATTTTCTCTGAGAGTATTGCAATGGACTTTAGCCCAAAATCACCTTCTTCTAACCTGACCTGAATGACTTGCTGTGTGTGAGAAATGAGGAGGTCCTTGCCAAGGTGACCATCAGAGTTGCTTGTTTTACCTGCATGAGGAAAAGACAAAGCCAGAGGCATCACCCATGAGCAGAAAGGAGACTAGATGAAAGACACGTACAGGCTCAAGACTCAAAATGACATTGTAAAACCTAAAACGTGTCCCAAAGCAAACATAGGAGCAGCAAAATGGGGTTGTCCCCATTCTACCCCTTCTTGGGGAAAGTGGCCAGTTTGTAGTAGTAGAAGGTGACATTGGAGAGAAAGCGTGAAGGAAGTCAGGGAGTGAACCATGAAGGTTTGGTGTGAGGATGTTGTAGGCATGGGCCCAGCAGGTGCGAAGGCCCTGAGGCAGGTGCTGGCGTGGTGTTCAAGGAAGAGCCAGAAGTCTAGGGAGCTGGAGTGGGGAGGGAATCGTGGGGAATGAGGCAGATTAGAGCAGGACTGAACTCACACTGGGTCCTATGGGCATGGTGATGAGACTAGCAGATGCTTTGTGGAGGGAGGAAAGACTTAGATCTGTAGATTGTCAAGTGTGAGGGGCCCGTGAGGCTTCTGAGTGCAGATGTGCAGCAGGCTGGTAAGAGCATGAATCCAGCTTTCAGCCAGAAGCCTGGGTGAGACGGGGACATTCACAGTCTCTGGCACAGGATGTTTCAAGTCCAAGGCCTGGCTTGTTTGTATAATCATTGTTGACAATAGCCAAGGATGGAGCAACTTAAATGTCCACCCATAGGAAAACTAACCTCCCACCCAGTGTTAGTAGATGGAAATTAACCTTCCAGTTTAAAAAGAAAGAAACAAAAACAAAAAAAAACACAACAAAAACCAAGTAAACCCTAGATTTCACACACTATGCAGAGAGGTTTTCTTTCCAGGGGAAAGCCAGAGGGGATGCTGTGTTGTTTGCCACCAGTGAGTTTATACTATTTAAGGCCTCCCACAGAAAGCCACTTCCTGGGGCTACAACTGTCCAAGGCCAGAGGACCCCTAAATTCTTTGTTGATAGCACCATCTGCTATCAGAGAAGCCCAGAGTAGGCAAGTGTGGCAACGTGAGGCAGCATTTCCACATGCAGCCTTCCCACTCAAGCCTGTTCACCAAGTTTCCCATTACTCAAACCTCTGGGAAAGCGCAGCAGAATGTGTTAGGAGCTGTTCAGGCTGAACACACAGGCTTCTCTCCTGTCGGGTCAACACCACCTATATATAGGATATGACTTTCCACAGCTAGGTCAGGGAGTTCCAGATGGTGCCCAAACAGGGATGTTATTGCGATTATAAATTATATAGAGTCCATGCCTCCTGCTGACAGCCATATGCCCAATGAAAGCATCATATTTTCGCTATGTTTTTTACTCAAACAGGGCAATCTGAACTAATATATATGACTGCATAAGACTGTAGGGGATGAGAATCATTGGGTAGTAGTGGAAGTTCCAATGTGAAAAGAAAATGATGTGATAGGATCCAACAAAGCCTGATTTGTGGGGAGTTTTATCTCTTTGTATATCAACAGTCACCTTCCAGGTCCATTGGCCCTGCCTTTCAACTATAATGCACCAGCCTCACGAAACTTCAGTCATTTGCATCCCTTGTCTCCCAGAGATGGTGGTAGAGGTTTCCATACAACTTAATGACTCAGGTCAGAGGCCTTTTTGCCCTTTCACCAGATTAACTATTGATATATAAGCCATATGTTCTTGATACCAGACAAATATAGATTCTCTCTCTAAATAGTTCTAGATAAACCAAAAAAACACGCAAAAAATGTATAAGCATTAATCATGAGGGAAAAGACATGATAACAGTAAGGGGCTTTGACCCACCGTTGTTGGATTCAGACAGAAGACTTTCTGGGACCCAGATGTCACACCTGTCTGTCTTTAGGAGCTGTGCCTGCAGCCAAGGAATTACTCCAGCACATCAGCCAGGGCCTCTGGGCAGGGAGTTAGATATTTTAGTGCCCAAATAAGAACATTCACTCCCAGAATTTCTTGCTAATCTGACTCCCGAATGGCAGAGAACATTCTTATTAGATTAAATTTGCTGCCTGGCCCGGGGAAGGAAGAAGGAGA